CTCTTATAAAATCTGCACATAACTGAATGTAGCTGAGCATAATGCCACAAGCCCTAAGTAGTAGAGACAGATCCAAAGGATCAGGGAAAGAAGGGAAGCAGTTAGAACATCTTTTTACCTGTGTGATGGCATATATGGAAACTCGAACAACAAACTTTTATTTGGCCCCTTTGGGTCTGTTCAATACACAACTGAAAATGTTTTCATATATCTTGCTTTATCTGTTAAACATGTGCAAAAATACCTGTTGCTCCTGCCAGGGGCAGACTGACCATTTGGAAACTCGAGCACTGCCCGAGGGCCCAGGGTCAGTAGGGGGCCCCATGAGATGCCCCTGGTACCTTTTTCATAGGCTTTTTTGAGTTTGGGCAAGAACACGGGTCCCATGATCTCCTATTGCCCGGGGGGCCCCATGAGTTGTCAGTCCGCCCCTGGCTCCTGCCAATAATATGGTAAGCTGATACCTTACTGTGCTTATTGATTCTGCTACACTCATGCATTACATTGTTCCAAGTTTGTTCTGGGGACTACAAAAGACCTCCCACTATGTTATAGAGAAGATGAGAAGGGAGGTGTTTTGCAGTCCTGCCCTAGAGGGGCAACATTGCTATTCAAAGATACAGTATGATTGTAGGCAGGTGCAGTCTAATCTCTCTGCTGCACATGGCTCTCTTCCACAATGGCAATGCAGTTGGAGAGGAAGTCAAGAGGAAGATGGTTCCTCTATGGTTTCCTTGGTCACTGGGGAATCCAATTGAATCCTGCTGCCCCATGTGACTCTAGGAGCTATTTTGGGTCAGGCAGAGCCTATTTAAGGCCCTGGCTCCCAGGCTTGGCACGCATTTTTTGTGTGTGGGTAGAGTAGGGATGGGCACCCCGCCTTGTAGGGACAGAACTAGTAGCAGGGAAAGATTCCTGACCAGGAGGGAAAGCACAGGGATTGCATCTTCCCACATGGCCACGATTTTGCCCCTCCTAACTGGTGCTGTTCCACTGAACCCTGCTCTTAAAGGCTGCTGGATCTGTGAGTTTTCCCGGCTGGGTTGTCTTTCCACCGGATTTATTGTGAACTGTCCATGGGCGGACTGACCATTTGGAAACTCGGGCACTGCCCGAGTTCCCGAGGTCAGTAGGGGGCCCCATGAGATACCCCTGGTACCTTTTTCTTAGGTTTTTTTTTTGAGTTTGGGCAAGGACACAGTGGCCCCATGATCTCCTATTGCCCGGGGGCCCCATGAGTTGTCAGTCCGCCCCTGGAACTGTCTCTGCATTATTTCATTACAAGTTCTTTCATCTCGCTGGGACTGTGTTATTGCGGTAGCACCACGCTGCACCCCACCTACATAGTCAGTGATCGCTGTCACCCTAGCATAGAAATGTGTTACCAGCAGGATCAGCAGGTAAAGGGTAAAAAACCTGCTCATGCAGTCACCACATCTAATGATTGGTAAGTTGCGTGGATTTAGATAAATTTTAAGGAAGCCGTATAGGTTAGATGATGGTCACCTGATCCTGCCAGTTTTGACAGTATCAAACAACAAATATTAAAGCAGAACTCCAGCCAAAACTTCTTTTTAGCCCTAGATAGAGTGGGTAATATCTGTCTGTGTTACCATAATGGAGGTATTTCCCTTCAAATACTGTACCAGAGGCATAAGAAGAAGTAGCAGCAATCTGGAAAGAAAGGAGAATCTTCAACTTTGACAGTTGCCACTGGAATAACTGTCTCCATTGGGAGATAGGCCCTCACATCCTATTACAGTGACAACATTTTGTTTTTCCATTTACTTTCTGTGCCAGATACAATTGCCTCCAGGACAAACAGAAAGATTAAATCTCCTCAATGAGGACACAGGCAGCAATACAAACAGAGGTTCTAAACATTCAAATGGATTGTAGTTCTGGAGTATCTACAGATTACAGTAGACATGTTAGACCAATCGGGAAAGACTGAACAGAGCTGATCCATGTTATTCCCCTAGGACAGGGATCTCTAAACTTTTTAAAAAAGGGCCAGTTTACTGTCCTTCAGATTTTTTGGGCACAGCCGCCCAGTGGAAGTAAACAATGCCCAATCTTTGGTATTAGGGAAAAAAAAGTTGGTGCCAATGGGAGGAATGGTGCCCCACTGTTGGTGTCAGTGGCAGGAATAATGCCTCAAGGACTGGATAGAGGCAAGCAAAAGGCCGCAGTTTGGAGACCACTGCTCTGGGACAATTATAAGATAAGGGTGTCTGCCCAATTCATAGATATGTGTATACATCAAAGAACTGAACAGAGTACAACAGAGACTGCTTGGTGGTTGTATCAGGAATGCATGTCTGGCTACTGTCTACGTATGATGTTAGTGTTACTGTATAAAAGAAATGGACACATATTTGAAAATACTGACTATGCCTGTAGGAGAATTTTCACTGACATCACCAATTAGTCATTCCTGAATATTTATTCCTTGAGGAAAGCTTGCTAATGGGCCATGATAATCGTGTTATTAATGGCTAACCAGGCTTCTGTGTGCATGTGATTCTATGCAATTTAAGCTCTTTGTGTATACTGTTTATTAATAAACATTTATCTTACTCAATTTAACTTCTTACTGAACATGTAAAAAGATAAATTAATTCTAGAAAGCATCAGTTTATTATTTATGAATACCAGGGGGACTAAACAAGGTTACATTTGTTTCCATCTTTTCAATGGAAAATTCATCATTAGCAAACTACATGGGCCGCCTTTGCTGACCTTTTGAAAATCATAATTGCCTGGTGAATCTCTGGCTTGAGTACTTTCTAAGTCACTGACACAAGAACAAAAATTTTAAATTCTGCAGCTTACCAATACTTACATTTTGGGGCAGTATTAGTTTTTTTTTCAAGCTTTTAACATTTTCTGCAAGTTCATCCTATGAGTATGAGCTTGTAACTTGCTAAGTACCCCCCTCCCCTCCCACACACACACAGACATTATGGGGGTGAAGAGAGACGATCTGCAGTTCTAAAACATTTCCTGTCCTAGGGTGAAAATGACATTGCCCCTCCACATATACAGTATATTGACTAAGCACTGCCACCCAGGAACAGGAAGTGTGTTACTGGCTGGGTCACCAGGTGAAAAATAAAAAAAAAAGCCTGAAAAAAAGAAAACTAATGTAGCCAGCACACCTAAAGTTGGTTACACACTCTCGCTATTGTACAGCGCTGAGCAAACCCTTCGGCGCTATATAAATACTGTATAATAATAAGAATAAGAAAATCAAAAGAAAAATTCTGTACGAGGAACGATCATTTGATTTGTGTACACAACTTTCAAAATACGATTCAGACGTTCCAAATGAAAATTTAAGAAGGGACAAACTCCAAAATTTTTCTTTTATGTGAAAACAATATCCGATTTTCGCTCAATGTATTTAGTAATTGTATGGAAATAATCGAATAGAGAGAAATGTGCATAGTCAGAAGCAAAGACTGTCCCGAAAGAAGGTGACAACAAACATAGAAATTGCACACAGGAAAGAATGTTTGCCTTGGTGTTCGAGAATTTTCATACCAGTTAATACCATTGTTGGTTACATCATGATACGCACCTTCATGGAAAATCAGATGACCTGTTGTCTGATTTTCCCAGAGTATGTAACCTTACTAAGAATCGAAAGCTGATGGAATGTTCAGGGGGAAGCAACAAGATTGCCTATTGAGTCCATAATGTCTTCCACAACCTATTATAGGGATTGAATTGCAGAACTGTGATCCGTGTGCTGGAGAAGAGACTCTTGGACCAGATGGGCAACCTATGTACCAGTATTTCTCAACAATTTTATCCCAAAAGAACCCCTGAAATTAGTTTTAAGTCTCAGGGAACTCCAGCAAAAATGATTCTATCTACAGCTCATAGCATCTACAGCTCTTTACTAGATGTGTTAAAACTAGATATACTAATATTAAACAAAGAAAAAAGAATGTGGTACACCTAGAGTACAGTTGCAAGAAAAAGTCCTGACCTCAACCCGATTGAAATGCTGTGGCATGACCTTAAGAGAGCGATTCACACCAGACATCCCAAGAATATTGCTACACTGAAACAGTTTTGTGAAGAGGAGTGGTCCAAAATTACTCCAGATCGTTGTGCAGGTCTGATCTGCAACTACAGGAAACGTTTGGTTGAGGTTATTGCTGCCAAAGGAGGGTCAACCAGTTATTAAGTCCAAAGGTTCACATACTTTTTCCTCCCTGCACTGTGAATGTTTACATGTTATGTGCAATTAAACCATGGCAACATCTAATGTTTGTGTAGTATTATGTTCAGCAGACTGTGTTCTTCTATTGTTGTGACTTAGATGACGTTCAGAGCACATTTTATGCCCAATTCATGCAAAACTCCACGTAATCCCAAGGGGGTTCACATACTTTTTCTTGTAACTGTATTTGACACCCAAGGTGTATGTGTTTGTAATATCCCCCTGTTCTATGTGACAAAATATTTTCATAAAAATTAAAGTGAATTAAAAAAAATTATAGCCTTTAAGAAAACAATGACAGATCCCCTTACATTGTTGATCCGTGTAATGCCTCTCTACATAAGCAGTCTGTGGAGAAATGCTTGCCTCCTTACATTGGTGGTCAGTGCGAAGAATGCCTCCTGCATTGAACGTCTCACCTATTGTTAGTGTTATCCTATCTCAGAGACAAGAGGGGAGGCCCCACTGGTGTCATGCAGTTGATTCTGGCAGTATGCAGGCACCATCAAGATGGCGGTCAATTCATCACTGTTCAGGGAACCACTAGCAGCCTCTAGAGGCCTAAGGTTCCATGTAACCCTTGTTGAGAATGGACACTATATACTGACTTACTGAAGCATATGGGAGATTTCTATTCAAAATGTTACCTGTTATCACATAGAGTACACTGATCATTTTAATATAGCATCATGGCAAACAAATAAAAACAGTTTTGTCTCCATTAGAAATACAACTAATTTGGTGTTCAGCACAGAGAACATCTTACCTCCGCTAAGTATGATGACAGCTATGAAGATGGCTAGATCACTGTCGTCCAGTTCTAGTGCATTAAACCTAATAGCAAATTCAAACTTCGGTTCCATAAAACCAGAAAAAGGTTTCCTTAAGCTCTTGAGAAACTCCCGAGTCATGAAGCCTTGTCCATCAGCAATGAGAACGCCATCTTTATTCATGAGAGAGGCCAACATTGTAAATATGATCTCATGGACGCCATACTTCAAGAGAGTTACTTGATCGTTCAGATCTAGGTTGATAAACCCCGGAATGCTTTTGGCGAATTCAGTGATCTCCCGCACAGCTTCCACAGAACGAGACTGACACCTCTGGAAAATGCGAATGGCAACCTCCTTATTTTGCTCCATATAGGGCGACAGGGAGTATTGGTATTTGATTTGATCCTCTCCCATCATCAGAGAATTCATATCATATATTACCACAGGCTGAGGAAAGAGATACATATTATTAAAATACATACTTTTTCAATATACTGTAGACAATAGACTCATATACTACGTATATAACTTCTCTAACTGCAAATAACTAAAAGCCACTAGTAACAGTCCTCTTAAAGGGAATTTATACTCTTTTACATTTTTAGTAAATATATCTGTGAATTTGTATACTTGTATATGTAAAAATGTATATACAGTTGCAAGAAAAAAAGTATGTGAACCCCTTGGGATTATGTGGAGTTTTGCATGAATTGGGCATAAAATGTGCTCTGAACGTCATCTAAGTCACAACAATAGAAGAACACAGTCTGCTGAACATAATACTACACAAACATTAGATGTTGCCATGGTTTAATTGCACATAATATGTAAACTGTCACAGTGCAGGGAGGAAAAAGTATGTGAACCTTTGGACTTAATAACTTGTTGACCCTCCTTTGGCAGCAATAACCTCAACCAAACGTTTCCTGTAGTTGCAGATCAGACCTGCACAACGATCTGGAGTAATTTTGGACCACTCCTCTTCACAAAACTGTTTCAGTGTAGCAATATTCTTGGGATGTCTGGTGTGAATCGCTCTCTTAAGGTCATGCCACAGCATTTCAATCGGGTTGAGGTCAGGACTCTGACTGGGCCACTCCAGAAGGCGTATTATGTGCTGTTGCAGCTATTGTTTTGTTGAATTACTTGTATGCTTTGGGTCATTGTCCTGTTGCATCACCCATCCTCTACGGAGCTTCAGTTGGCGGACAGATGGTCGTACGTTTTCCTGCAAAATGTCTTGATAAACTCTGGAATTCATTTTCCCATCAATGACAACAATCCGTCCAGGCCCTGAGGCAGCAAAGCAGCCCCAAACCATGATGTTCCCTCCACCATGTTTTACAGTGGGGATGAGGTTTTGATGTTGGTGCGCTGTGCCTTTTTTTTCTCCACACATAGTGTTGTGTGTTCTTCCCAAACAACTCAATCTTGGTTTCACCTGTCCACAGTATATTTTGCCAGTAGTGCTGTGGAACATCCAGGTGCTCTTTTGCAAACTTCAAACAAGCTGCAATATTCTTTTTGGACAGCAATGGCTTCCTCCGTGGTGTCCTCCCATGTGCTCCATTCTTGTTTAATGTTTTCCTTATTGTAGATGTGTCAACAAAAATGTTAGCATGTGCCAGAGATTTCTGTAGGTCTTTAGCTGAAACTCTGGGATTCTTCTTTACTTCATGCAGCATTCTGCGCTGTGCTCTTGCAGTCATTTTTACAGGACGACCACGCCTAGGGAGAGTAGCAACAGTGCTAAATTTTCTCCATTTGTAGACAGTCTGTCTTACCGTGGACACATGAACATCAAGGCTTTTGGAGATACTTTTGTAACCCTTTCCAGCTTCATGCAAGTCAACAATTCTTGATCATAGGTCTTCTGAGAGCTCTTTTCTGCGAGGCATGGTTCACATTGGAGACAGTGCTTCTTGAAACCAGTAAACCCAAAACAGGTGTGTGTTTTTTAAGGACAGGACAGCTGTCAGCAACACATCCAATATCATCACACTGATTGGAGTCAAGGTTGGCTCACTCCTAGCTCCAATTAGCTGTGGGAGAAGTCATTAAGCTAGGGCCTCACATACTTTTTCCTCCCTGCACTGTGAATGTTTACATGTTATGTGCAATTAAACCATGGCAACATCTAATGTTTGTGTAGTATTATGTTCAGCAGACTGTGTTCTTCTATTGTTGTGATTTAGATGACGTTCAGAGCACATTTTAGGCCCAATTCATGCAAAACTCCACGTAATCCCAAGGGGTTCACATACTTTTTCTTGCAACTGTATATACATAGCCATATTAGCTTGTTACAAATCCAGGCTATAAAAAAAAAAAAATTAACTTGTGAGCCACTGAGGTATATTTAAAAATGTGAGTATTAGGTCGCTGGTAAAAAATGCCCACTCTCATATGATGTGCGTTTATCAACAAAATATTTAAATAATTACCGCGCTCCAATACCCTCAAGAAATTCAATCTAAAAGTGCACATATATATATATATATATATATATATATATATTTTTTTTTTTTTTAATTAATTTATTTTCTATCACCTTAATATACATTTCTTATTTTAAATATAAGCACTGTGCACTTTTTGATTGTATTTACTCACTTTATAAGCACTGTGCACTTTTAGATTGAATTTCTTGAGGGTATTGGAGCGCGGTAATTATTTAAATATTTTGTTGATATCCAGGCTATGCTTCCTGTGCAGTTCTACACAGTGGCTGTTTTTTTTTACTGCTCTTCCCAAAATGGAAGAATATAACTTGGCCAACTCATTAAGAACAATGTGCTTCTTCCATGGCTGATATTTAAATTTCAGCAGTTGTGCAGTAGATAAGTCGAGCCTCTACAAAATAAATCAAAATGTGTCCTTGCACCATATTACATTAAACAAATTGTTGGAAAAGAAATATGCGGCTACTATTCAAAAAATGCTAATATTCTGGCATTGATCCACTAACTATAAGCTGGCCATACACTGTTCATATTTCTTGATGAACTGGACAAAATTCACTTAAGCTGGCCATAGATGAATCGACTCTTGGCTGGTTTAGCAAGGACTGGACGAGATTCAGTCCTCTATGTGCAGGCCGATTGCACCCAAGGCATTTCATTGATCAACTTGGGTACAAACAGCATGTCAGATATTTAGCACGTGATTATTGCCAGCAGCTGTAGCCACTAGCAGTAATCATTGTGCTCTCCTGGCAGGGATGGCTCTTCATGCCCACCCCCCACTTGGAGAACACAATAGCTCTGTGGGATGGATTCCCTCACCAAAACTCACTGTGTTGATCGGGGAAACAAGGCATTTTCTTTCCTGCAATCCATGGTTGCAGGAAAGAAAATAGCATCATCTATTGTCTTAGTGGATGGCCCCCTGGCCTCAACATTCTTTGAGCTGGGTGGAAAATTGTTGACTGTTGTTCAGATACCGCTGCTGTCTCAGGCAATGATGAGGGAGAGACCCGGGAGAACTCAGGTAACAGAACACGCAGAAGATTGTTTACCTTCATGCACAGACTGTCAGAAGGTAAAAAACCATGAGCCTTTACAACCACTTTAAGTAATTTCAATAGAACAAATATGCAGATCTGGAAGGCAAAGAAGAGCAAGAAGGCCTAATCTGCATACTGGCCACTGATTCAAAGTTCTGAAGCAAGATGATTAGTATAACACAAAGGGGTTTATTTACTAAAGCTGGAAGGTCCAAAACCAGGCTCACTTCTGCATAGAAACCAATCAGCTTCCAGGTTTTATTGCCAAAGCTTAATTGAACAAGCTGAGGTTGGAAGCTGATTGGCTACTATGCAGAAGTGAGCCTGATCTTGTACTCTCCAGCTTTAGTAAATGAACCCCAAAGTGTCCTTTTGGTTCAATACTTTGGGCCACTAACCTACTGTGCAGATACAACTGATTTCTCTATGACTTTCAGTATCTTCATACTTGGTCAATGTTTTAAAAAAGGTATGGAAGCTAATGAGTCAGCATGATAGCCATTCATTTTTCCAAGAAGGTCCAAAATGGCTGTTCCCATATTTTGTTTAAAGATTTATTTTAATGTGTATCCTAAAATAAACTTTAAAGTATATATATAGCCAAAAATGTTGCTGTTTCTCAATGATGAGATGTCCATTCACTTCATGTCCTGAAAATGCAACAGGAAGTGAGTGGAAATTTCCCAAATCCTAGGGTTTTTTGGATTTCCCATCCCTCTCTATCACAGGGGCAGTGAACACCACAACATATAGGGAGGGCAAATCTCTCCAATGGTGTTATTTATTTATTTCAGGTACTTATATAGCGCTGTCAATTTATGCAGCACTTTACATGTATTGTACATTCACATTGTACCCTAACCCTCAAGGGGCATACAATCTAAGGTCCCTAACTCACATTCATACATACACATACAGTGCTAGGGCCAATTTAGATGGGAGTTGATTAACCTACCAGCATGTCTTTGGAGTGTGGGAGGAAACCACGGTACCTGGGGGAAACCCATGCAGGCACAAGGAGAACATGCAAACTCCAAGCAGGTGGTGCCATGGTTAGGATTTGAACCAATGACCCTAGTACTGCCAGGTGGAAGTGCTAACCATGTAGCCACTGTGCTGCCTGGTTGCAGGCAGCACTGAATAATCTCCAAGGTTCTAGAAGTCTATTGAAAACAATATTTGGCTTTAGATACATTTGGAGAGTGCTTTCTATCTGTGGCAATAAAGTTATTTGTACTGACCTCAATTTTGCTAATGCTAACATAATAGTATAAAGCTATATTGATTCAAAGTGAATGCTATTAGTCCACTTTAATAATATTCTAAAAACTGATGCTAAAAGTTATAGCTGAATCTATAAGGTACATTTTTCCAAGCATAACAAACTGTAATAATAGTTTTTGGTGGACACAAAGAGTACTTTTATGATCAGTTAACACTACTGCGACCTGAAAGTAGTGTGACTTACAGGGCAACTTAAGTACGACTTTGATGTGACTTTCATGCCATGCAACTTGGCTTTACTCTGATTAATTTGGTACTCTTCCGGCAATGCTGGATCCAAATCACCTCAATATAGATGAGGATTTGACTTGGAGGCAACTTGCATTAACGTCTATGGGCACAAGTCGGATATAAGTTGCCCTGAAGTAGTAAAGTTGGAGCGACTTCAGTAGAGCTAATAATTGACTAACATTGGGTTTCACATGTCATGCGACTTGGGGTCTCACAGGTCTGATCCCAAGTAGCGGCAGTGTGAACCGAGCCTTAGGTACACTCAAATTGTCAGAAAATTAGCTTGGTTGAAATAGCAGTCTTGTTTTGTACTAAGACAAGTAAACTTAGGCACACTGCCAATATTAAACTCTGGATGTTATTAAGTATTAAAATAATTTATTACTTATTTTTGTTTTTTTGTTTTTTTACATGACATTTTCCCCGTATAGCCACCTCTTACTTTATGAATCTGGATTTGCCAAGATGTGTGTAGCACATACAAAAGGAAGTTGACCTTCTATAGACCTATATATACTGCAAGCAGAAAATACGATTGTTTTAAATGCAATCCCAGTAAATGATTTATGCACATAACGCCCACTCACTGATTTGTCCGTTGTCCTTCCTGTTAAGATGGCCCTTGCCTTGGCTTTTGTTAAAGGGAAGGACTTGAGATATGAGTCATACAAGTGCTTGGCCAAGACCCGTTGATCGGCGTTCTCCGGATTCAGCTGGTCGATGTCACTGGAAATCTCAGCCAAGAGCTTCTCCTTCTCAGCCTGAGGCATCCGTCCAAACCTGATAGCTGCAAACAGAATTTTCGTGTTACTGGGGCCGAGATTATTACGAAAGGAGTCGCCATGGTGCGAAAAAACACGAATGAGATGTCATAAAATATGCAGTAAATGCAGCCCAGTGCATACGAAGGCTTGTCATTTTGGGCAATATTGCGTGCTATAAAGTAGAGGCATGTTTAATGAGCACGGCAAGGTAGACGCACTTTGATGGATTCCGTCTTTAAGTTTTACGATGGTGTCAAGCAGCAGATAATTGGAAAAAGTCAGCACTTTGTACAAGAATATGATATATAAAAATTGTAGGTTGTGAAACATTTAAAACCTCAGACCAAACGGGATCCAAATGACTGAGATATTTGTGATGGTTGAAAAGTTATATGGCCTATCACAAAAAGTCACATGATCGATTATGAACAAGAAAAAATGACTGTAAAGAATTTCAGTAAGACCTTTTATATCTTGATAAAGGCTTGCAGTTTAACTCTTTTTGACATTTTTGCATTAGGCTGCTTCTGAGTTCCTTTAAGATATTCCAGAGCTCCTTCAGGCTGCAGCTAAGCTGCTTCAAGTTGCTTCTGAGATGCTTTGAGCCGATTTTGCATTTATGTTGACTTGTATGAAAAAGGAAAGCAAGTCTGATGCATTCAAATACCCTATGTGGGTCTATTTGCAGTTTATCGGTGCATTGCCGTTAAGGCAGCCTATTCATTAGGAATGGGCAGCTAATGCACTACAGCAGAAAAAAAATGCACTGACTCATTTTTATGTATGTGCATTGTAGTGGTTTGCACTTTACTGTGCATGGGGGAAGATTTACTAAAGCTGGTGCGCGCAGAATTTGGTGCAGGTGTTCATAGTAACCAATCAGCTTCTAAGTTCAGCTAGTTGACAATAAACCCTAGCAGCTGATTGGTTACAATGCTCAATTGCACCATATCATTCGTGCACCAGTTTCAGAAAATCTCCCCAATTGCATTGGGATGGTGTTCACAATGACCGGCATGAGGCAGGTGCAATTCGTGGGGCAGGTACATCGCCATATATTTTGGTAACATGTACTGTGCCACAACACAAGTGTGAATTGAACCTTCAAGTGAATTCCTGCTTTGCTCATACAGGGAAAAAGCACCTTATCTTAACCTTTAAGCTAAACCTATCCCATCACAGTAAATTTAAATGTACATTCTCAAATGAATACTTCATATTTAGACCAGCATTATTTCAGCATAACATGGGGGATTTCCTTCTATATCTGCAAATAAAGTCTTATAAACCAAATGTATAATTCATGTGTCTTTTAAGCTCTATTCACACTAGTGCGGTTTTGTGCACTGCGGCACGGCATGGCACGGCACTGCAGCCTATTCATTTGAATGGGCTGCCGTGCCTCTCAAAATCCAGGGAAAAGGTCCCTGCACCTTTCCAGAAAAAGCAGCCCGCACTGGAAACCGCACTACAGAGAGCTTCCCAGTGCAGGTGCGATTTCCAATGCCATTAATTAAGATTAATGGCACCCGCATACGGGTCCCGCATTTTGTTGGTGGGTGGCTGCAGCTTTGGGATGAAGTGCATGTCTCACACAGGCTTCCATCTGTGCTGGCCTCAGACAACACAATAGCGTTGATTTACTAAAATTGGAGAGTGCAAAATCTCTGCAGAGAAGCCAATCAGCTTCCAGGTTTTTTGTCAAAGCTTAATTAAACAGGCTAGATTAGGTAAGAAGCTGATTGGCTACTGAGCACAGCTGCACCAGATTCTGTGTGCACCAGTTGTAGCAAATCTCACCCATAGGGGCCAAAAAATCGTTTTGTTTTTTTCAAAATGTTGTTACTGACCTAATTCTGGAAATCCTTTCTGTTTGACATGTATGCTAAACCTCCTGGTTTTAATACTTTCTTAAACAACGAAATTCAGTAAATTGATCAGGGAAGTCAGGAAAAAGTCAGAGGTTCTGATCTGCCTACTTGTTTTAAAGTGCAACTCCAGGAAGCTTAAAAATAGTCCTTTGCAATTGGAGCTGTACCTGCATTGCAAAGGTTAATTTCTCGGTTAGGTCTAGGGCACATAGAAAACAAGACCTACATATCTGATCCTCTGATCCTCCATGCTGCAAGAATGGTCCCCGCTGCATCTTATCCCTCATTCTCTGGCGGCCTAAAGTCCTGAACAGGTCCATGGCCCTGCATTTGATGTGATGATGCCAAGGACAGTCCACCACAGGAGCATGAGGGAACATCATCTGCTGGTGGATCGTTAGATCAGGTAAGGTAAAGTGCGTCTCCCTAACCTTTGCAGTTTGGGAGTAGTCCCACTGCAAGGGACAATTTTCAAATTTAGTGGAGTTGGACTTTAAGTCAGTAACTTTCATTATTGAAGAAAGTGCATTAGCATGACACCCAGGCAACTGCCATTTACCAAAAGAAAGGACAGTAATAGTCTTCATATTTTCTCATAATAGGTTCCTTTATAGCTCTCTGCTGACTGTTGGCACTTCAATACATTTTCAATAATACAATATACAAAAGAATTCAGGATTGAAAAAAAATCAAATTAAATTGTTTGTGTGAGATAAAATAGACATAAAATAAATCTGAACAATGCTCATTGCTGTAGTTAGGAAACAGGAAACATTACCCTCGGCAACATCATAAATTGCCAGTCTGAGGAAAAGTGATTTCAAGAAGCATCTTATGATTTATTGGTCATTTGAGCATGTGTTGTTTATTTTGCAATGGCCACAGTGGAAAACAAGCCTATGTTCCTAAAGCTTAGGACCTGTGCCAGTGCGGACTCTTACATGGGTCTTGTGAGCAAGGGCACTTTCCACATCTGCCTTAGCAGAAAATTTCATCATAAATTGGTTGTTATTACTGGCCTTCGAGAAAAACAAATCAATCATTTTCTATAGTCTATCCATCAGCCTTCTGAATATTCTAAATTATGAGTGCAACATTTTTTTTTCAGGTTTTTCTGGGCATTGGAGGAGTCACACCCTAGTACAGCCTTACTCAACCTTTGTAAGATGAAGGAAACCTTGAAATAATGTTCTGGTCTCAGGAAACCCCTACTAATAATTACTATATCTACAGCTCATAATACATTAGCGTGATGGTCATTGGAAAGGATGCTCTATACCAGTGGTTCTCAACCTGTGGGTCACGACCCCTTTAAGGGTCGAATGACCCTTTCACAGGGGTCCCCTAAGACCATCAGAAAACACATATTTCCGATGTGTAAAGAGCAGCTAGTGTGTAGAAAGCAGCTGCTGTGTTGTAAGCAGCTACTCTGTTAAAAGCAGCTACTGTGTTGAAAGCAGCAGTATTGGCGGTAAAACGACACTTCATGAATTATAATTACTGGGTAAATAATTTTATGGTTGGGGGTCACCACAACATGAGGAACTGTATTAAAGGGTCACGGCATTAGGAAGGTTGAGAACCACTGCTCTATACATTTGTGGTTAGTGGGAAGAATCTTCCCTTACAGATAACTCAAAAGATCATTGTTGTCAGTGATTACCTGAGAGGAAGAAATTGGTTACCTATCCGAAAAGAAGAAATTACTTTTTGCTCAAGGAACCCCTACCAACCTTTTAAGGAACCCCAGGGTTTTCCCCAAAACCATAATTATGAAAGGCTGCCCTAGTATATTAAAAGGCCAGTCTACCTAAAAATTAAATTGTGGTAATAGGTGGAGCCTGATGAGCTAAATTATTCCTGGGCTTCTTATAAATCTTTGATGTTTTTCCTGATATAGTTATCAACTGTCTTAATGTCCACTTGAGTGTATTACATGATACTCCTTGTGTGTGTCGCCATTTACGTTTCAGATTAAACAAGTAAAAAAAGTATTAAACAGATGTTTCAGGAGTGAAAATCCTTAAATAATGACAGAAGTAGCAAAACAATTGCAATAGCAAAACAAAAGGCAGTCATCACATTTCGGGGACCAACTATTCTTCTTCATTTGGGCTACAATAAAAATGTATGCATAAAATAATAATAATAAACATAGAGAAAATAACTAAAAAGTGTAAAAGAAACAAAATAAATCATTTAGGTATGTAAGGTTAGTAGTTTAGCAGAATGCCCACTAGGAAGCATAAATACCCAATATTAAGGTCAAAGCTGATACCCATTTTTAGTTAAAGTGTTACTAAACCCCGGACCCTGCATTCACTATATCTGGTCTCCCACAGTACACAGAACATGGCAGTGCAATTATTTTAGTAAATATAAACTGCTAAAGAAATATTACATGACTCTTTTTCAATCCACACTGAATTCACACAGCCAGTGCACCGGACATATGTGAATAGGCACCATAGGAGGCAATATTATTTCACATGGGCAGCACAGTGGCTAAATTATTATTATTATACAGGATTTATATAGGGCCAACAGTTTGCACAGCACTTAAGGAACTCCTAAATGCTAAATGGTTAGCACTTCTGTCTGGCAGTACTAGGGTTGTTGGTTCGAATCCCAACCACAGTACCACCTGCCTGGAGTTTGCATGTTCTCCCTGTGCCTGCTTGGGTTTCCTCCAGAAACTCCAGTTTCCTCCTACACTCCAAAGACATACTGATAGGTTACTTGGATCCTATCTAAATTGGCCCTAGTATGTTTATGTATGAATGTGAGTTAGGGACCTTAGATTGTACGCCCCTTGAGGGTTAGGGACTCATGTGAATGTACAATATATGTAAAGTGCTGCGTAAATTGACAGCACTATATAAGTACCTGAAATAAAATAAATGTCATGTTCAAAACACATCCAATCCACATATACAGTAGGTTAACCAGCACTAAGCAAGACTGTCATAAAATGTGATCTAGTGCTTCTAATCATGATGATAAAAATATGAATACGTTTCAGTTCAGCAAAATCACTATTATCCGTACTAGTTAGCAGTAAATTCATAACAACATCTGAATTCTATTTTTTATCATCAGATCACATGCTTTCTGGCCTTTTAATTTGCATAAGTATGGTCACATCCAGCAAT